CATTCTTTGTCCTCAGTCAGGAGTAACAGTCTTTGTTTTTAACAGGGATGTACTTGGCATGTAAATGATCTGAAATGAGATTTTGTTTAGCATTTTCTTTTCATTTATTTTTGCACTAGGAAATTTTTAAACATGATTGAATAGTAAAGATTGTAGACAATACATGTCTTATTAGAACAAATCTTTTGCATAACAAGTGAAGGATGGTCTTTAATATAATTTATTTTTTATTATGATTATTTTTTTTTCTCTCATTCAAGTCATGAATAATGTAATCATAGTATTTTATATTTATATCATATATTCTTTTTCCTACTGTGTATTAGAATAAGAAATTTCATATCTGTATTATTATTATTTTTTTTTATTGACGCAAAGATGATTGATTTACTGATTACAAAATTCTGTAATGCCATCTTTGTATTTAGAGTACTTATTGATTACCAGGCTGTCATTTATCTCAATATAATTTTCAGCAACCCTATCATTTAATTATCATCAAATTATAAACAAGTGACTCATCACCAGTTTCTCAATTATCTTATGATTATTTTTGCCAATATTTTTATCTGTCATAGGTCGTTACCAACTTGAGAAATAGATGGTGATCAATTATAGTGTGATGGTGTTGTTATCACCTTTTTATTATTCAGATATTCATCTTTTTCTTGTGTTCCATGAATAAGAAATAGGAAGGACATTATCTGTTAGTAGGTCGTAAGTTATCCGGAGAAAATGATGATGCTAAGTCCTTATACCATTGTTAGTGTTCATTGTCATTGACTGTAATAGTAATGGTATTGATGATGGTTGTGAAATATTTTTATAACTTATTTCATTAATGCTTATATATCATAAAGAAAAATTTTCAACAATTTTGTAATAGGAGATAATGTGATGGAACTCTTGACTTTTTTGTTTTTCATTTATCCAAAAGTCTTTTGGCAACTTATCAAAGCAGTTAGCTGATATGTAAATGAATGTTATTAAAATCCATCGCTAAGTATTTATAGGATGAAGGGAGAAAAGCATTTAATATTATCTTTATTTTTGTTGTTATGTTTACATCAAATATAGCTAATTGTTATTGCTAAAGTGTATCTAAAATTAGTGTGTATAACAAGAAGGGAATGCTGTATGCAACATCTAACCCATAGCTGTAGTCAAAAATATTTCAAATTTGTATTCATGTCGAAGATTTGTTGGAACTAAATATGAAATGATATGATTTTGTGTCCATATATATGGATAACAGGTACATATTAAAATGTAACATTACTATATTTTTAAGGATCTCGGATATATCAAATTAAAACCTTGATATGATATTATATGTTGCTTGTCAAGTTAAAAGACATACTCTTGGCTATCAGATAGGAAATTGAAAAATTAGACATCATGTTAAGGATAAATCAACTGTGAAGCTCCTAGAATATATTCTAAAATAACAGTATATACCAACTTGTCATGAGTTAAGGATATTGACAGTTTAATAGTTTTTCCTAATATTTTTGCCTTCAGAATCTAACAACAAATATATAAAACTAAACGTTACACTGATATTTTTTTCTTTTTTTTTCTCTCTTTCCTTTTTTAATGATCATGACTGTAATCTCTTTGGCTTGAAGTATATGCAAAGTCCTCTAGTGTGTTTGTCAGATTTGTTTATACCTAGATGCTCCTTACGTGCTTAGTCACCAATGAGTCATTTACCTGGCCTGTTTACTCCATTCCTTGAATTTTAGAAAAAAATGTGTTTTTAGTTTTAATATTGTTATTATATTCATGAAAGTTATAATTGTTATTGACATTATTATTTTCTTAACACTATAAACAGCAGTAATAGAAATAAGAATAAAGACTGCTTCTGGAAATTCAAGGAATATGGCTAAACTAATGAAATCAATTGTGATTAAGCGCTTGTGGAGCAATCTATTTATAAATAAAATAAAAGAGCTAAATTCACATTGGACTGGGATGTATATGTTCCCACCTAGTGTTAACTGACTGGCATAGGGGGAAGGGACAAGAAATTTTCTTGGCAAACCAGTTAAATATGTCTATGTATAAAAGATTTGTTTAGGATTTAATTGATATGTTTTAAAACATGTATGTTAAGGACATATGAAAAATGTTTTGTGATTTTATAAAAGATTTTTGATTAATGGTTTTGGTAATGAAGTGGCTTAATAGAATATTTGTATAATCAGCATTACATATAGAGATCAAGATGCAGTTATCATTACCCCTTAAAACAAGAAGAAGAGATAAAAATATTAGATTTGCATAAACTCTCTCTCCCTTACCATTTTTTTTAAAATCAATCCTCTGCAGATGTGAAACCTTAGGAGTGCAGATGACCAGCTTGCAGGAGCAGCTTGCGAAAGCAGAGTCCGCTCTCACCCAGATGACCGACGAGAGAGACAAAGCCCAGGTTGCTCTCAAGCGCTTGACGGATGAAGTCAAGGCTAAAGAAGAGCAGTGGACTGCAGAGTCTCAGGTAAGAGGGGAGATTTGGCTTGTGATTAGAGGTGAATCAATTTTATTCGTGGTTTGTCTTTTTTGAATGTGTTTTTTTTTTTTCCTTTTCTTTTCTTTTTTTTTGACACTTTATTTTATCTTGGGATTCACATGTGAGGGTTTGTCTTTTAGAGTTTCGTTTGAAGGAATTTTTGGATGTACGTTAAAGTGTGTGTGGATTTTGCACGAGTTTTGTAGTTCATGAGAAATTTCCTTTTTACACTTTCTTTCCAACTTCCTGATTTGAGATTCCAGTTTCCAACTTAATTTGTGATAGACATTGAAGCTCCCCCCAAAAAAAAATTTACATTATATATTTTGATGTCAGAAAAAAATATAGAAATTATCATGTCTCTTCATAATCTTTCTTTCTCTCTCTCTCTATTTCTCTCCCTCTATTTCTCTCTCTCTCTCTCTCTCTCTCTCTCTCTTTCTCTCTCTCTCTCTCTCTCTCTCTCTCTCTCTCTCTCTCTCTCTCTCTCTCTCTCTCTCTCTCTCTCTCTCTCTCTCTCTCTTAGATAGATGTTTTATTTGTGGAAATAGCCTTGCTATTGTTATTCACTGGGGGAAAAATATTTTGTGATATATTTGATGCACAATAGTTCACTCTTTTTGTAACAAAGACCAAAAATCACTGCTTTGATTTGTCACTCATGTTGATGTATCCTCCTTACATGACATCGCCACAGATAGCTCAGGTAATCAAAATTTCTTAGTTAAGCTTAATGTATTTAGTGCTCAGCAGACCATTACTCAGCAACACGTTGGCTGCAGCAGCAAGTTCCGTGCTATTGATTACGGCTTGTCAAACTTTGTCGGTGTTTGTGCTTTGGTGGACGTCTTTGTGTTGTGTTTGTATATATGTTTTTTCTCTCTCGTTATATTAATGTTCGTAATGTACAGATATGACGACAGTACAGTGTATATGATATTAGATTAAAATTCATTTCGGGACGCCTTTTAGTGTATTTTTTTTATATATATATTTCATAATTTGCTTGATTTTAGTGTTTTATTATAATCAGTGTATAGATGATGTGACTAAATTTGTTATATAAAAGCTTTTTTAATGACAGTAAATGAAGGTTTCATTTATTATCGAAGAAGGAAGAGGGAAAGATTTATGTATTGCATATCCTGGACACATTTGCTTTTTCTTTTTTTTTTCCTTTTTTTTAGTTTATGTAATATACTTTGCCTTGGTGTATTAAAGTAATGATTTTGATGACTTTTTTTTCTTTTAGAAGAGAGTTAGTGTTTTGAAGAAAAGTCTTCTTTTCTATTTAAAATTCTCTGGGGTTCTATTATAAAGACCTATTTAAGTTAACAATATTTTGATGAACAAATGTTGTCTTGATGTAAAAATTACTTAATCCATTTGCATGAAGTAAGCTCAGTATTATACCTAAGAAATTCCACCTGCTTTGCACGTACACCCAAAAACAATATTATATTTTCTAAGGAAAGGTAAGTGGATATATTTGTATAATTCTATACCTTGCCACCTTTATGAAACAGAATTATGTACATATTCATCATTTCAGGTAAGTGACTACCAGTTATTGTGTTCTTTTTTTACAATCAGAACTATAGTTGTTAAATGTTATTATGTTTTTTGTTTTTTTTTACAATCAGTATTATAGATGTTAAATGGTGAATGTGATGAGGCAGTGAGATCTAAAACATGTAGGTGATATCTGTCATTGTTATTGTTTATCTTCATTGGTATATTTTTGGCGGGATTGAAAGAGCAAGAAAACGGGCATAAACAAATAGGGACATGGGAAGGGAATAGTAAAAAAAAAATGAAATTAAATAAAAACATGAAGTGAAGTAAATATGTAGATTGAAGTTTTCAGGTGAGTTATGACAAGCATGGATGGAGAAATATGACTAATGAGAAAGATGAGGTATGGGTGGTGTGAGAGAAGTAGTGAGAGAGAGTGATAAAGAGCAAAGACAAGGAAAGATTATGAGAGAATACAAGTAGGGGAAACACACAAAAGTACCTATATGCATACTCACACGCACATGCACACAAACACAAGCACATACACACGTGCACACACACACACACACATGTGCACACGCACACACACACACACACACATGTGCACACGCACACACACACACACATGTGCACACGCACACACACACACACACACATATGTGCACACACACACACACACACACACACACACACACACACACACACACACACACACACACACACACACACACACACACACACACACACACACACACACGCTTGCACACACACATGCCCTTGCACACACACACACACGTGCACACACACACACACACACACACACACACACACACACACACACACACACACACACACACACACACACACACACACACACACACACACACACACATGCGCACACACACACACACACACGTGCACACACACACACACACACACACACACACACACACACACACACAGAGAGAGAGAGAGAGAGAGAGAGAGAGAGAGAGAGAGAGAGAGAGAGAGAGAGAGAGAGAGAGAGAGAAATATTGATTCATTGAACAGGAAAAAGGGAGGGGATAGAGTAGGTAGGAAGACAAAGCATAAGGCAAGGGAAGAGCAGAAAGGGTAATAAAAGAGTTCAGAAATGGAGGTAATAAAATATAAAAGAAAATTGGAGAATTGGGAAAAAGTTGATAAATTAAAAGTCTTACAGTAAGAGAGAGAAAGAAGAAGAGAGAAAGAAGAAGAGAGAGAAAGAAAGAAGAAGAGAGAGAGAAAGAAAAAGAGAGAGAGAGAGAAAGAAAAAGAGAAAGAGAGAAAGAAAGAAGAAGAAGAGAGAGAGAAAGAATAAGAGAGATACAGAAAGAAGAAGAGAGAGAGAGAGAAAGAAGAAGAAGAGAGAGAGAGAAAGAAGCAGAGAGAAAGAGAGAAAAAAAGAGTGAGAGAGAGAGAAAAAGAAGTAGAGAGACAGAAAGAGAGAGAGAGAAAGAAAGAGAAAATGAGAGAAAGAGAGAGAGAGAGAGAGACAGAAAGAGAGAGAGAAAGAGACAGAAAGAGAGAGAGAAAGAAACAGAAAGAGAGAGAGAGAGAGAGAGAGAGAGAGAGAGAGAGAGAGAGAGAGAGAGAGAGAGAGAAGGGAAAGAGAGAGAGACAGAGACAGAGAGAAAGAGAGAGAGAGAAAGAGAAAAAGAGAGAGAGGGAGAGGAGATGAGAATGCCTAGACAGTGTTGAGTGTGTGCGTGTCTGTGTGAGGAAGAGGGAGAGGGAGAGAGAGTAATGATAATATTTAATAATTTAGTATTATTCCATTTGTTACAATGGATATTCTTGGTGTGACATGCTGTCTGTTTCATTTTGCTTCTAAATTACCCCCTGTGTGCAAGGAATGGCCGGGGTTACCATCCACAGGCGGCGAGGGATTTGAACGCAGGTCAGCAAGCTTGCTAAACGAGATCGCTACCGCTGCACCACACGGGAGGGGGGTGGGGTGAGAAAGTATAGACAGTGTGGAGTGTGTATATGTCTGTATGAGTGAGAGACAGACAGACAGAGACAGAGAGGATGGGATTGAGTGCGATCGAGAGAGAGGAACGGAGGGGAGGGAGAGATTATGATAACAGTAATACAGAGTCGAAGCAGAGGATCGTGCGGCTTACCAGCATGTATTATTCGTAGCATACTATAATTAATGTGTCTTAGCTGATCTACATGTGACATGCGGGACTCTCTGTCATATTGGCTGGATCGCATGCCTCTAAGATTACACTACAGGACAACTACATCCAATCTTCTAGTGGGTTTTTGTTTTTGATTTTGTCTAGTTTTTTTGTCTTGTCTTTTTTTTTAAGGTGTCATTGTTTTCAAGTCGTTCTGTTACATTGCATGACGGGGGACATTAGACGTAATGGATAGATTAACTTCGTCCATACCCCTCCCCCCTCCTTTCTTCCTTTTCCTTCCTCCTGTTCCTCGTCTTCCTCTTCCTCCTCCTCCTCCTCCTTCTCCTCCTCCTCCTTCTCCTCATTCTCCTTCTCTTCCTCCTCCTCCTTCTCCTCCTTCTCCTTCTCTTCCTCCTCCTCCTCCTCCTCCTCCTCCTCCTCCTCCTTCTCTTCTTCCTCTTCCTCCTCTTCTTCCTCTTCCTCCTCCTCCTCCTCCTCCTCCTCCTCCTCCTCCTCCTCCTCCTCCTCCTCCTCCTCTTCTTCTTCCTCTTCCTCCTCCTCCTCCTCCTCCTCCTCCTCCATCCCGCCGCTGGAATGGCAGTATCTCGAAGGTTATGACAAGGCGAGTGTAGTAATTACTCCTCGTGTTTGCGTTTCTCTTTCTCGTCGGGAGAGGAGAGTCGGGCCACACCCACGCGGGCGGAGGGGAACCTAGAGTTGTGGGAGGGGTAAGGGATGGAATGAGGGAGGGAGAAAGAGGAGAGGAGAGGGAGGGAGAGGGAGGGAGGGAGGGAGAGAGAGGAGAGGAGAGGGAGAGAGAGGAAGGAAGGGAGAGAGAGGAGAGGGAGGGAAGGAGGGAGAGGGAGGAAGGGAGGGAGGGATGGAATGAGGGAGGGAGGGAGAGGAGAGGGAGGGAGGAAGGGAGGGAGGGAGGGATGGAAGGAGCGAGAGGAAAGGGAGGGAGAGAAAGGAGAGGGAGGGAGGGAGGAGAGGGAGAGAGAGAGGGAAGGGGGATGGCTGGAGAGAGAGGAGAGGGAGAGAGGGAGGGAGGGGGGATGGCTGGAGTGAGAGGGAAGAGGGAGAGAGGGAAGGAGGGAAGGAGGGAAGGAGGGAAGAGCTGATGGAGCTTGTCGTAAGGAGTGGGAGAGGGAGAGAGGGCGGACGTCGGGCAGCCGCGTGCGTCCGAGGAGGGCGCGTGCGGGGTCCAGGGCGGGAAATGACCGGGTAGCGAGGTCATCCCGGGTAGTTCCTTCATCGTTCGACTTTTATGCGAGTCTCCGTGATTTACTTGTCATCTCGGCTGACGGGGAGGTTGTGTGACAA